TTATTGTCAGTGTATACCACACATTTAGCACCTAATAAATAGTCCCTGAATTTTTCCGTCACAGCCCATTTTAATGTCAAAAGTTCTAGTTTCATGGCGCTGTAATTTGTCATGTTCTTCTCTGATCCCTTCAGAGCTCGACTGGCATACGCAATAACCCTGAAACCTTGCTTTTGTTGTTGTGATAGCACAGCTCCCAGACCTTTAGAGCTGGCGTCAATTTCTAGCCGAAATGGTTTGTCAAAGTCTGCGTATCCCAATATCGGCGCCTCTGTCAAAGCCTTTTTCAAGAGCTTAAACGAGTTCAGGCATTCATCAGTCCATAATTCACCTATCCGTTGTGTTTTACCTTTCTTTTTCTCCTTACTGTGTTTCTTTGTCATTTTGTTTACCAAGTCATGCAATGGTGCGGCAATTTTTGCAAAACCCGGCACAAATTTTCTATAATAGGAAGCAAAACCCAAGAATGACCTGACCTCTACCGTAGTTGTTGGTTGTTTCCATTCTTTAACAGCTGCAATTTTATCTGGGTCAGTGGCGATGCCATCCGACGAAATCACGTAACCCAAAAAATGTACCGACTTCAAACCAAAGCAGCATTTGTCTGGGTTCAGCTTTACTCCTATCTCCCTAAGACGGAGAAACACTTGTTCTAATCTTTTTAGATGGTCCTCCCAAGTTTTTGAGTAAACTAGAATATCATCCAAATACACCAACATTATTTGAAATAGAAAGTCACTCATAGCACTCTGCATTACTCGCTGGAATGTAGCAGGTGCATTAGTTAGACCAAACGGCATACGGGTCCACTCGTACAGTCCCAGTGGAGAAATAAATGCAGTTTTATGTTGATCGTTGGGGTGCATGGCCACTTGGTGGTAGCCACTAGCCAAATCCAAGGTAGAAAAAAATCTTGCTCCCCCCAACGCATCAAGACATTCATCAATACGAGGCAAGGGGAATGCATCCCTTCTTGTGATATTGTTCAATTTCCGGTAATCACAACACAGTCTTATCTCCCCTGACTTCTTTTTTACCACTACAATCGGTGCCGCATATGGGCTCGTACTGGTTGTAATAATTCCCTTTTTTAGTAGATCGTTCAGGTGTGCTTTCACCGCAGAGTAGTGACTTGGTGGCAATCTTCGATAAGGTTGCGCCACCGGCTTGTCTTGTAGTAAGGGTATCTGGTGTTTTATTACTTCCGTGTACCCCAAATCACCCTCATACGAGGCAAATATATCACTGTATTTCTTCAGCAATTCATTTAGTTTTGGGTCCTCAGTTTCCGGGAATGTATATGATCGGCCATCTTCTTTCTTCACCTCGGCCGTCACATTGACCGACCTAATTGTTACTTCATTACTACTGGTATTGATCAGTTCGATGCACTGTGCCGACCGTTGTACCTCGACGTTCTGTGGTACTCCTACCCGAGTATTAGGCGGTATAAAAATTTCTTCATCCAAAACATTTGCCACTAGTCCTTGAACTAGTCCATTTTCCGCTGATGTGTATGTCCGCAGTAACACGACGCCTGCCCTCAGTGCGGCGCCACATGGTTCTATCATCACATCACCATTCACGCTTCTATCACCAATTTGTAATGTGATTGCCTTGACCGTGTTTGCCGGGACTGATATCCTTCCTCTGGTCTTGGCAAACCTGGCCAACTTGGATCCCCGACCTGGTGTGGTCGATCCGACAATATTTGTAAGAAATTCTGGCAACTGGCCAAGAATATTCATGCCCAACAGGCAAGGTATATTTGACACATTTGTCTCTAGGTTGTGTTTCGTAACGAACACCCCAACTTGCTTCAACCTATGTCCTGCCACCACGACATCCGCCAGAAAATAACCACAGTATGGAATGGTTAGTCCATTAGCTGCCGTCAGGCGCATGCATGTGTCAGACCTCAACCTATGGTCTTTTCCTTTCATCCATTTGGTGTAAAAATTTTCCGTGATTGTCGTCACCTGGGAGCCTGTATCCACAATTGCCTTCACCGCGATGTCCCCAATCGTAATCACCATTTCGGGACAGACTCCCATCATTTTGCTTCTTGGGCCATACCCTCGCCCCTCTGTAGCCTGGCCCTGCCTTACAGAGGACGACCGTTTCCCTGGCAGTACCGTGCCATATGTCCGGGTTGTGAACAAGACAAACAAATTGGCCGACCGTCGGCCGTCCATTGGAGTGATGGCTTGGCCGGACGCGGCCGTCCAACCCGTCCCTGTTTTGTCCCGTTCTTTTCCCGATTCTCAGCTGTTGACCTGCTTTCTAACCTCTCCAAACGTTGGTCAACCTTATCTAGGTGGGCCAACAGTTGAGCCATCATGGTCTCCATCGTGTCGGCCCCTGTGGGTGGGGATTGTCTCTGTTCAGGTACAGAAACTTTGTCCACCGAACAGTTCGATTGGTCCTCATCCTCGGACCTGCGGATCGCTGAGTTCCTGACCTGGAGGAAGGTCAACTGCGGTTCTTTGTGGACCTCCTCTTTCAACTCTCTTCTTAGGATCGGGGTTGCCAGCCCCTCAATGAAATGGTCCCTCAGTAGGCGTACCTCAATGTCCGGTGTTTTGACCTTTACCGAATCAAAGGCCCTATTCATCCGGTGTGAGTACTCCATCACACTCTCCGCCAACCTCTGCCTTAAGCCTACGAACCCTGCCAGCAGTTGCGATCCCGACCGTCTCTCCCCAAAGGTCTCCATAATCAGATCCAGCACCTTATCTGGATCTGATTGGATGGTTTTATCGTGGCATTTGACCTCTGCCCTAACCGTCTCTCCTATGCTGCCCATCAGCAGTCTTAATCTTTCCTCTGGTGACATGCCTCTCGAGGCCCAGGCCGCTTTGACCTCTTCACTGAACCTGTTGGTTAAAGTGGGATCCCCGTCCCCGTAAAATTTGTTAATGTGGGACTCTCTGGGTAGGACCACTATATGGGTCTGCTTCTCGTCCAGAGTAGACATTTTATTCCGTAAGTAAAACAAAAGAGTTCTTTCTTACCGTGTGTATATGAAAAAATTTTCCTCGATTTTCACAGTTCCTGAATGTCCGAATTCACATACACACAAAACACAGTTATGCACAAGGTTGACTATGGGTGCCTAAATCGGCAAGTCTAGTTGAATTCATCCTGCCGACGACGCCAAATGTGACCTAGGCTAGTTGCATCTATCCTGTTCGCAACGCCCAATGTGACCTTTCCCGAGTCTATCCTGCCCGACAACGCCAATTGTAACGAGTTGAACCACTCATGCTACACAACATCGACTACAGTAGAAAGACTCGAAGATGCAGGTTCGCTATTGATCCTTTTATTACATGAATCAAGAAATGTTTCAATATAACACAATGAATCAACAGAGATGTTTCACAATAATAGTCTGAATCAACTGACCCCCTAACAGTCCTCACTAGGCTTCATATAACTGAATCCACAAGTCTATTGTCCTTCTTAACACAATATAACCAACTTGGGTATGTCACCCAGACTGACTGATCTAAAGCAAGCGACGACGACGGAAGAGAGAGAACGAGTCCTGCCGTGCCCTCCTATTTATGCCTTGTATCCGTACTCGTCTCCGTACTTGTATTCCTCCGTAATCGATACTTGTACTCGATCTCCGACCACCAGTTGCGTAGTTCAAACGTACAGACCGTAAAATAACATCTGCGTCCTATCCATCAAAGTTGACAGGCCGTCTGAATACCGTTTCCCAAAATAGCACGCCTTGGCTTTGAGGTTGTTATCAGCCCGACCCAATAAGCCACCTGTTATCGGTTGCATCAGACCAACACCGTGTCTCGGCTTCTCGTTCGTTATCATTTGTAACTGGTAGTTAGGCCTACCCCAGTTACATATATATATATATATATATATATATATGCAAACATGTATATCTATGTATTATGGGTGCAGTACATACGAGTATACATATACGATAGTCTTAAATCTTGCTTCTAATGAATGTCTTCGAACAAAAATTAATGAGAATGACGTGGATTTTATGATGCGCAGAATTGATTACCCATAACTAGGCTCAGGTAACCAATGACCCAAGATGTGAGTGTATGTGTATCAAATCCTGACGTAGGTTCGCGTTAGTGCTACGGGTGGCGTGGGGGGGGGGGTGGGGTGGGGTGGTTAGGTATTGGTTATGAGGCTGATGTTTGACGGTCGATACTATAGATAAAAAAGTTAGTCCGTTTTTAAAACAGATCTCAAGATAATTTAAAGTTCCCACAGTTGATGTACTAGGAGAAATTAGAATCAACGACTAGCGGCGTTCTAGCTTCCCCAGTGGCAGTGTATGAAATGAATTTTACCTTTTAGATTAACACCAAACGTACAGACTGGCACATAAAGGCGCCCTAAAACGTACAGACTAGCACCGAAAGGCGCCCTAAAACGTACAGACTGGCACATAAAGGCGCCCTAAAACGTACAGACTAGCACCGAAAGGCGCCCTAAAACGTACAGACTAACACCAAATGGCGCCCTAAAACGTACAGACTGGCACCTAACGGCGCCCTAAAACGTACAGACTAGCACCGAAAGGCGCCCTAAAACGTACAGACTGGCACATAAAGGCGCCCTAAAACGTACAGACTAGCACCGAAAGGCGCCCTAAAACGTACAGACTAACACCAAATGGCGCCCTAAAGCGTACAGACTGGCACCTAACGGCGCCCTAAAACGTACAGACTGGCACATCAAGGCGCCCTAAAACGTACAGACTAACACCAAATGGCGCCCTAAAACGTACAGACTGGCACCTAACGGCGCCCTAAAACGTACAGACTGGCACATAAAGGCGCCCTAAAACATACAGACTGGCACCTAACGGCGCCCTAAAACGTACAGACTGGCACACAAAGGCGCCCTAAAACATACAGACTGGCACCTAACGGCGCCCTAAAACGTACAGACTGGCACATAAAGGCGCCCTAAAACATACAGACTAACAGCCAGAAAGTTGAGGTACTCACCCGCAACTTGTCTCCAGCATGGAACCCTCCACCTGAAGGGACGCCATGCCGAAGTCTGCGACTCGTATATTGCTTTTCTCGTCAAGTAGAAGATTCTCTGGCTTTAAATCTCTGTGGCTGCAGGAATACAATACAGAAATTTTGTCAAAGTATTGGCCAAATGAAAAAAATTTGGTCAGAAATTTTTTTTTAATAAAATTCAAGTATGAATTTTCGGTCAAAGTAATTGCCAAACGAAAAAACAAAAATTGGCTAGAAATCTTAAAAAATAAAACATCAGTAAAATTTATAAACTAAAAGTCGAAAACATTTTAGTGTTGAAAAAAAAATACAAAAAAAAAACAAAAAAAAAAACCATAACAAACAAAAACGAACAACAACAAAGCAATGTTATAGTATTAAAAATGAAAGAAACAAAAAAAACAACAACAAAAAACAAAAAAACAACAAGGGTTTATTATTTGTTTCTTAAAATAACATTTATGTAGGAAACATGCCGCCGTGTTGATTATTACTGTAACTATTAAATGTGCTTTCACTAAGTTTTCACTAAATTTCACTGAGAATAACTGGAATAATAAATGTCGAGATAATTTGTCATTGAAATGTATTATGGCAATTGTAAAAAAGCAACAAAAAACGCGTACTCACCAAATATTATGGCTATGACAAAAATCTAATGCGGAGATAATTTGTCTAAAAAACTTTCGCGCTTCCTTGGGCGTGAGTCGTCCTTTCTTGACCAGGTAATCGAATAGCTCACCCCCGGACACGTGCTCAAGTATCAGGTACCTGGGAGAGAGAAAATAGGTCAGTTGTCAGCAACGTGAAAAATATGGAGTGGTATCTATATACAGGTCAACTGTCAGTCATGTGACATTATGGAGTAGTATCAATATATAGGTCAACTGTCAGTTTGGTGACAATATGGAGTGGTATCAATATATAGGTCAACTGTCATAAACGTGACAAATCGGAGTGGTATTATAATATAGTTTAACTGTCAGCAATGTGACATTATGGAGTGTTATCAATATATAGGTCAACTGTCAGTAATGTGACATTATGGAGTGGTATCAATATATAGGTCAACTGTCAGTAATGTGAGAATATGGAGTGGTATCAATATATAGGTCAACTGTGTAAATGTGACATTATGGAGTGGTATCAATATATAGGTCAACTGTCAGAAAGTGACATCATGGAGTGGTATCAATATGTAGGTCAACTGTCAGTAAAGTGACATTATGGAGTGGTATTAATATATAGGTCAACTGTCAGTAATGTGACATGGAGTGGTATCAATATATAGGTTAACTGTCAGTTTGGTTACAGATTGGAGTAGTCTCAATTAAAAGGTCAACAGTCAGGAACGTAAAAATCATATTATCAATATAATTATAGGTCAACAGTCAGGAACGTAAAAATCGTATTATCAATATAATTATAGGTCAACAATGAGTCAGGTGACAAATGGGAGTGGTCTTATAATATAGGCCAATAACCAGTCACCTGGGGGGGGGGGGTGTATTGATATTACACAATAACAAATAGCAAGATAGCAAATAATGAACAGAAAAATCAGCACGAACTGAACTGAACAACTTATGAGCAAAGGTGGGCTGGCCAATCGCGGTGGGCCTCCCAGAAAAATATCTCAGTGGGCCCCCCAGAAAAATATTTCGGTGGCCCCCCCAGAAAAATATTTCGGTGGGCCCCCAAGAAAATATCTCAGTGGGCCCCCAAGAAAATATCTCAGTGGGCCCCCCAGAAAAATATCTCAGTGGGCCCCCCAGAAAAATATCTCAGTGGGCCCCCCAGAAAAATATCTCAGTGGGCTCCCAGAAAAATATCTCAGTGGGCAAGAGAAAAATATCTCAGTGGGCCCCAAGAAAATATCTCAGTGGGCCCCCAAGAAAATATCTCAGTGGGCCCCCAGAAAATATCTAAGTGGGCCCCCCCAGAAAATATCTCAGTGGGCCTACCAGAAAATATATCAGTGGGCCCCCAAGTAAATATCTCAGTGGGCCCCTCAGTAAATATCTCAGTGGGCCCCCCAGAAAAATATCTCAGTGACCAGAAAATATCTCAGTGGGCCCCCCAGAACAATATCTTAGTGGGCCCCCCAGAAAAATATTTCGGTGGGCCATGTACTATTACTGTTGATGTTTTTTTAAATTGTTGGTATTTTACCATTCTTTCATACCCAGTCGTAAAATACAAACGCTGTGACGGAGAAAATAATGCACACTGGGAATTTCAAATCGGGGTTGGGGGGGGGAGCTTTTATAATTTCCCGGGCCACTTAGACACCCCCACCCCCGTTTATAATAAGGACTTTATGAAACGAAAAATATGTGTCAGAAGCTCACACATTTTTAACGAAGTTATTTACTATTTAATTAGTTTTTTTAACTGCTTCGAATGTCAAACTGACCTCCACGGCGGAAATTCGTTTACACCCCCCCCCCCGGGGGTAGGTCACGAAGTCATACAAAAAAATAAACAGTTACAGATTTACATAAATGTCATTTATCAAAAGTAGTATATGTTATTATATAAAATTCAATTTATAGGTCTTCTAGCCTAATTGTTTCTAAAAAAAAAGTGTAGTTATTTAATTAATGCCCGTATAATGAGGGAAGGGGTTGATCCTTGACCTTTATAACACCAGCCCAATGCACATTTATTTCCAGCATATAGCATAAACAACTCCCCATTTAAAAAAAAAATCAGCTCAATTTCCTAGCTCCAAGATGGACGACACGAACCGGAAGTGTATAATGTCCGGGCCTATGACGTCACACGCGGGTAAAAAAAAATCCTTCGCTTAAAAAACCGTCATAAAATGGGTGAATTTTAAGCCCTGTAGAAAGAGGTGAACGGTCAATAAAAAAAACCTTTTAGGAGATCAATATCGAGTTTATAAAAGTGCACAGTAAGTATCTAACTACCAATTACCATAACTAGCTAGTGCATCTAACTACCAATGACTATAACTAGCTAGTGCATCTAACTACCAATTATCATAACTAGCTAGTGCATCTAACAATCAATGACCATAACTAGCGTGTGCATCTAACTACCAATTACCATAATTAGCTAGTGCATCTTACTACCAATTACCATAACTAGCTAGTACATCAAACTACCAATTACCATAATTAGCTAGTGCATCTTACTACCAATTACCACAACTAGCTATTGCATCTAACTACCAATTACCATAATTAGCTAGTGCATCTAACTAATAATTACCATAACTAACTAGTGCATCTAACTACCAAATACCATAACTAGCTAGTGCTTACAACTACAATTTTTCCATAAAAAGAATATAAGTTGTCAAATGCCGACTAGAGTAAGCTTCCAATCAAATATTTACGAAGGACCTAACATAAAAGAAGATGTTGTATGCTCAATACAAGGGAAACATTTAAAGTTTTGTGGTCATTGAGGAAACTCAAAAATATAATTATGTGGTCTTAGAGAAAACTTAAAAAAAAAAACAATTATATCGTCATGGAGAACAAGAAAGAGTAAAGTTATTTCTTGACCAACTGGAACTTAAACGCTTGGTAAGAGGATGGTCTAATTAAAGTTAAACACGCCCACCAACCTCATGAACACACCCACCAACCCCATTAGCACACCAACCAACTCCACGAACACACCCACCAACCCTAAGAACACACCCACTAACCCCACGAAAAACCCAACAACCCATCAAACACACCCACCAACCTCACGAACACACCCACCAACTCTACACCCACCAACCCTAAGAACACACCCACCAACCTCACGAACACACCCACCAACCTTAAGAACATCCACTGACCCCACGAAAAACCCAACAACCCATCAAACACACCCACCAACCTCACGAACACACCCACCAACCCTAAGAACACACCCACCAACCCTACACCCACCAACCATAAGAACACACCCACCAACCATAAGAACACACCCACCAACCCTACACCCACCAACCATAAGAACACACCCACCAATCAAAAGAACACACCCACCAACCTAAGAACACATCCACCAACCCTAAAAAAACACACGTACCAACCCTAAAAACACACCCACCAACCCCACAAACACACCCACCAACCCCCCAATCACACCCACCACGACCAACCCAACCCAACCCTGCACCACACGGCTCTCCTCCTATCGCCAATGTAATTAACACCTACTTTACAACTCCAGGCGCACGCAACTCTAGAAAGGACACGTGCCTGCGTCATATTACCGCCTATTTGTTTTTTCCGGTCCCCGGTAAACAGACGGGCGAAATGTATTTCGGAAAAGGACAAAGCAACGCTAGAGGTGATTCGGTACCACGGAGTTTGCCGAGCATGCGCAGAATACGGCGTATCGTTAAGCCCTAACATCGGCTTACGCTTTCGGATGAGTGGGGTAAGGTGGGGGTAAGGGGGGGGGGGGGTGAGTTATTGTAAGTTGAGTAAAGTCCACTTTCAAACATGCCGGTTCGTGCAAGGGAAGTAGAATTCACATCCTTCTGTGACCTTGGCATGTGAAGTTCCCTTTCAAACCTGACTGTCTGTGGGACAAATGAAGTAGATTTTACCTGTTTCTTAGTTGTTCTTAGCAGAAATGCGTGTGTGTGTGAGTACCGTTTGGCACCTTCCTCTTACAGAACTCATGATCTTGAAGAATTCCATTCATTTATATTTATTTTCATATATATATATATATATATATATATATATATATATATATATATATATATATATATATATATATATATATATATATATATATATATCACACACGCACCTCCCAGTTTGAACCCAGGTGTGTGAGGTGTGAGTGAGTCAGCACTTGTTGGATATCGAACGTCTATTATGAATACTTCAGATGAAGGACAAAAAAAAACAACAACAACGGTATTTTAAAAGATCTGAGTAGGTCTACACGTGCGGTCTACTGACACTGTGTCATTGTTCCTCTTTTAAAAAACCCCCAATATATATATATATATATATATATATATATATATATATATATATATATATATATATATATATATATATATATATATATATATATATATATATATAATTTATATTATAAAATACTATTTATTCATATAAAAACATACACATATTCCGCGCTGAACTTAAGAAAGTATTTTAACTCGCTCTGCTAGGATCATAAAATCAAATTATATAACTAGGTATATAGCACTATCCTAACCCAATGTAGAAGCTAATAACTAAAAACTATGTCACTCAAGTGAAATTAATGCACAATGACACATACAAAATGCCTTATGAATAAAAAAACAACAACAATTACTATTCAAAATATTAGAAAAAAATTAAAAAGTGCATTTCGGTAGAGGAAAGCATGGAGCCACTGCCACTGGGCTGGGCCTTGTATCCAAGCAGCTGTCAGCTGTCTGTATTCACTCTACTCCACCCATTCTTATTGTTTTTATCTTGTTTAAAGTTGTTTTTTTACAGTGTAATATTTTTTTGAGTTAAGGAAATAAAATAATATATTATTAAGGAACTAGTGAGCCGTATCCTGACAACAAAGGAGCCGCATACGGCTCGCGAGCTGCAGGTTACCGACCCATGTGTTAGGCCAGGGGAGGCAACCTGCGGCTCGCGAGCCGCATGCGGCTCTTTTGATGTCAAGGTGCGGCTCTTCAGCTCCATGCACAACTAAAAAAAATTATTTTATTTTATTTTTAAAACTCAAAAAAATATGAGTCTGCAACACTCCGTAATGAACGATATAATAATAAATAT